ACCTTTCGTTTGGTATATTTTTTTCATAAATTTAACCCTTTACCTGCCCACAAGGGGGGATTTAAAATGACAACTTTTTCAAAAAAAATTAACTTTTTCAACTTTTGAAAATGTTCCGGAAAGTCTGACACTTTTATATATATCTTAAATTGAAGCTAATGTAATATACTTTATTATGGTAAAAAAAAATTTCGGACTTTATTTTATCTTCACGGTGAAAATGGCTACCGAATGCTATTTTTGTGTGAAAATTTTCGATTTTGTATTTTACATTTTTAACTTTATTATGCTATAACTTTTTGAAAAATGTATGGATCAGTACAATTTTTTCATGAGGAGTAGTATTTATATAAATCTTTCATTTGACATACTGTTTTTTTAAATCGGACCATTTCCCTATATACGAGGGGTTCAAATCTAAAAAATGCATGTAGAAAGTAGAACTTTTTCAACTTAAATTTTGAAAGTGTTCCGGAAAGTCTGACACTTTTATATATATCTTAAATTAAAGCTAATGTAATATACTTTATTATGCAAAAAAAAAATTTCGGACTTTATTTTATCTTCATGGTGAAAACAGACATCAAAGTTTATAAAAAAAATACGATTTTTGTAAAAAAATTCATTTTTATATTTTTAACTTTATAATGCTATAACTTTTTGAAAGATGTATGGATCAATATAATTTTTTTTTTATAGATGCATGATGTCTTTACCTATCATTTGGTATATATTTTTTTTATATCTGACCCTTTACCTGCCCACAGGGGGGGATTTAAAATGACCACTTTTTCACAAAAAATTTACTTTTTCAACTTAAATTTTGAAAGTGTTCCGGAAAGTCCGACACTTTTATATATATATTAAATTAAAGCTAATGTAATTTACTTTATTATGCGAAAAAAAAATTTCGGACTTTATTTTATCTTCACGGTGAAAATAGCTACCGAATGCTATTATTGTGTGAAAATTCTTGATTTTATTTTTTACATTTTTAACTTTATAATGCTATGACATATTGAAAAGTGTATGGATCAACATTATTTTTTTATGAGAAATAATATTTTTTAATAATCCCTTTTTCATTCTACATATTTTATCTTAATTAGGATATTAATAATGAACTAGCAGATCTAAAAGCTACATCTTTTGGAATAGTCCACCAATTTTTTAAAATTAAACACTATCTAAAGATTTGCATCGAAGCGTTTTTTTTTATAGTGATTTTAATCACTATCAGATATCATTATACTTGATCCATCTATACCACGTCACCACTGTGCCCCGACCCCCCTGTGCTGGGTTTTTAATTTTGCACTTACCTCATTTTTTTAATATGTCACTAAGATCTTTCAGCTTTCATTTAACTTTGGACAATATTCTAAAATTCCAATAATCTTTAAATGAGACTAAACGTTTATATTATTCATTGAGTTTAAAAAAATGATCTTTACGACTTATCATTTATATGTAATGACTGCTGAATGTAAAAAAAGTAAAATTTTTATTCAAAAATCATTTTTTCTACATAATTATAATTTACTAATAACCATCAATGAGTTCTTATACTATAAAACTATAGTGAGTATAGACGCTTTTAAGTGTTTATCCTAACGGCCTAAACAAAAAAATTATTACGATTTATCCCCAAATTATGAACAGCTCAATCATGTACGAATTGCGACATTTTATTTGAAAATGTTAGCATTTTTTATGGCAAAAATTCTAACTATAGTCAGATTGAAATCTACTGGTTACTATTATATCAGGCTCGGAACTGAACAGGGGTTTTTCTTAGTTTACTTCAGGGAAACTTACAAATTTCTAAAATATTGCCATAATCAAAAGAGTTTGTTTAAAAATTTTTAAATATACAAAATAATTAACAAAATGAATAAATGTTATAGCCTAATTATGAGCTCTACCAAATAGTCAACTATTATTAACCCATTTTTGTAATTTCATATATACTATACTATTAATATGTTGGATTACTTATAAAAGGCAAAAATAATTAAATTAAAAAATTTAAGTCAACTTAAGCAATTTTTTTTTACGTAGAAAAAAACGAATGGAATTTTGTTTGTTTGATTTATTTTAAAATAATAATATTGAATATATTTTTACTTTGTTTAAGTGACATGGTACAAAATTTGTTAAAATACTTAATAACTCATAAACGGTGAATTATATGTTCCTTAAATTGGCACATTTTTATTTCTATATTATTATTTTAGGAGAAATTGAGCGGTCAATAATGATGTGATCACTTTGTATGAAAAAAGTTCTTACTAAGCAGAATGAGGATAAAATATAACCCCAGAATAAAAATAATTACATTGTGAAAGTACAACTTATATTTTGTTTGAAGAGGGTAATGACGATATACATTTACAAGCATTTTAATACATAGAGTGAGTATGTAGAGTAGAATTGATGAATGCACACTCTGTGTACAACACATACCTACTCTATGTATTAAAATACTTTTAACAGAATAAATACATATCAAATTATTCTGATTAACTCCTTAACATTTTTATAAGGAAAGGGCTCCAAAATAGCTATTTCAAAATTTTGAAAACAATTAATTTTTTTTTTTTTTTACAACTGTTGGTTGGTTAATACCATTGGTATATCTTGGGGAAATTTTAAGTGCAGTGGTTTCCCGTTGCCTTCTGCATTGAGAACATGGTGCTTTTTCGCCACCGTATAAGCACAAACATGGTCACCCATCCGTTCACCTATGGCGGTAGGCGCGACTTAACATTAGAGTTTTGTCAACAACTAGTGTGACCACCGCGCCACACCACGGTGTGTGTTAATTAGTTAATAAATACTTGCAAAAAAAGTGTTCTAACATAATCCAAAACTTTAAAAATAATAATAATGCAAATTTTTCGACTAATTATAATTAATTAAAGATGTTAGAATATGGTGGGAAACCAGTATATTCTTAGCATATCTTCTCTCAGATAAAACCTTATTTATGCCATTGAGAATAATAGCGTCTTATTGGTAAGAGGATAGTTTGAGGAATCTAATATGAAATTTTATTACATGTTATTAAATTATATCAGAAATAAAGGAATGAGGATAATATATTAAACTCTTCCTCATGAATATTATAATAAACATCTACTTATTTGCATGTATCTTTGATTAAACATCTTATAAGTGACAACCATGAAATAAAGTAAAAATGAATTTTAAATAGATATTTAATATTTAATTATCAAAATTAGACATAAACACAATTATAATTTTACTCAAATTAGATATCTTAGAAATAAGGTTTAATGTGGCTAATTGATTTCCGAATTTTACATTATATAATTTGATTTTTATTAGCAAACAAACTTCTAAAAACCATAGATTTTTGAGAAGTATTCTATTATAAAATTTATAAAAATTTAAAGAATAATTAATATTAATAATATTTTTTTAGTAAATAACATATTTAGACTTTTATTGAAATAAAAGTTTAGACATTCTTCACTACTATAAACAATTTCAATAATATTGAAATTTTAAATTATTATGGATTCACCAGTTACTTAAAAATTTTGAATTTTTACTTCACACTAAATAAAAAAAGAAAAACATGTAACAACTTGAAAAAAATGTTTGGGAGGTAAAATTTAATTTTCTCTTTACTAAAAATATTTTCTACACAAAAACACAAGTAATATTCATAATTTTTTTAAGGCTCAGACAAAATTGGAGTATATTAACATTATGCTGTGTAGAAAAAAAGGTAATCATTTTTTTTTAAGTAAAAAAAAAAAGACAATTCATTGATTTTGATAATTATTTATAACATTTGTCAGAATATTAATCACTGTTATTAAAAATGTAATAAATAGTTAATTATTTAAGAAAATGTTTTAAAATGTTAAGAAACTCTTCCTCTTTAAAGTATGCTTCTACTTTGATTTTAAGTACACACAAATATTTTATAAATAATACAAATTTTTACTAGTATATATTTATATTCTTATAATGTACACCACCGAATAAATTATATTGTACATTGTTATATGTTTATTGATCAAAAAATGATTTAAAAATTGCATATTATATAAATATAGTGTACACATGTGTCAATGTGATACTTCAAATGTTTGATTTTTTTAATTATTTTGAAAAATAAATGATAATACTTATGTTATGTAATTAGTATTATGTAAAAACTATGTTCATACTAATTATAATAATCCCAATAATATATTATTGAATTTAAAAGTAGTATAGGAAAAATATTGAAATCATTATTATAGTTTAAACTTAGTTCATGTTTTAAACCCTGCATATTACTTTTTGATGGCTTGTGGGCAGTAACTTTTAATATAAAAATATTATAGATATTGAAAAATATCTGAGAACTTCTAATAATTACTGAGCAGTAGATAGAGCCAATACTACATTATTACACATATAAACAAGAAAAAGTAATGCACAGTCTGCAGGGTTTAATCATCAGAGTTAAAAATAAATAATTACTAAATTACTAGGAAAAATAAATATTTTACTATTCATTGTATAGCTAAATTTATATCCATTCAACTTAAAAAATATATAATATATTGTAATACAAAATGGATGGTATTTGTAAAACAAAATATAAATAGATTATAAAAACAGAAATATTGATTATGAAACAATAAAACAAGGAATATACGAAGAGTGAATGTGTCAAACGTTCTATGTGCCAAAAACATATTTGTTCAGAAAACACAAAATACGATGGTAACATGGGCATGTCTCACATAACGAACACCATCTATGAATGCAATTTTGTACAAGTAAAAAATTTAATTGACATATGAAACACATACAAGATTGTGGCCTTTGGCACATAGAACATAAATCAGAAATAAAACAATTTTTCACTTTTTTGGCACATAGAATGTTTGACACATTCACTCTTCATATATTGAAAGACCTAATTTCAAAACTGATTTATCTGAATGCCATTATAGACATAAACTTGTACTTACAATCCAAATGTTTCTTTTTTGGTCCAATTAGTTCTTCAGTAGTTGCTTTGCACACGGACTTCGCTAAACCTTGTCCAGCTAAGCTATGTCTAGCTGCCAATAGTCTATCTTGGATAGTCTGACCAGCCATTATATTATATTTATTTAAAGAAGAAATGATAAATATCTGTATGGTAAAACTCGAATAAAAAAGGGTAATGTATTTACTAGACTATACTGTTTGAAGAAGTTAAAAATATATTATCATAAGTTTATCTATAAAGAACAAGTATTTAAACCATAACACGAAATTACGGAACACTACACTTGCAAACCAGAATATTATGTCGACAGACAACTAAAAACTACACTTCCAGCTGATAATAAAATCATATATTCCAGTTATCATTTTTTTGGTGACTAAATTTTGCCGGTAGATCGCTGTCTAGTCTATTAAAAATAATTATTTTTTAATGCTTTGATAGCATTAAATAATCAAAATTTTAGAAATATTTAGGAATACAAATTATTTTATTAATAAACACTGCAATAGATAGTTGAAAATATATATAAGTATTTTTCAAGCATTTCGCAGGCGCAACATTCACACATTTCTACGCGTGCGCACAGGTCAAGGTTAAGCAATTCCTACTCAATATTAAATTTTATCAAAGTTTAGTTGAGTGGGTTATAAAAAGTTGTATTGAGGCATTATCATTTCATATAGTGATAACAATAAAAAAATTATATTTGTACTAGGCAACTAACTAATTACAGCTAGATAGCAGTACTTTACAGATCAATCCACGGACATCTATAGCACATACTATATGAAAACAGATTATATTTTGATATGTGCAACGAATAAGGCAATAACTCATTTTTATAGTCTGTGATAAAGTCAGTGGTTCATAACGACATTAGGATATTCATAACTGCAAAATAAGTGTTTGTAACAACCATTATATCCCAGAATTTTTTTCTGAAGTTATATGCAAAGGCATATTTTTCCTTGCCTTTATCCCAACTACTTGAGGTTAGCCATCCTTATCCTAAATTTATAATAATCCTAAACTAACAATAATTATTACTAATACAGAAAAAAAATAAAAAAATGGGTTTCTATTATTTTTGATAACCAATTTAATTCCTTATATAGCAAACACACCATAAATTTTAAAGCAATATATATTGTATACTATTTGTATTTGCTGTTTAATATTAAATATAACATATTTGCCATTCATATTGCAATATAAGTGCCAAAATACTAAGTATTGTCATTTCCATATTATCAGCCATCCAATAAATAATGACAGTTTAACTTAAAATTTTCCAAATCCAAAAACATCGACTGCTTGAGGAACAGTTTATGTTTCTATGAAGTCAGAAAAAAATAACATACATTTAAGTATATTCCAGAATTCTCTTTTCACACATTATACTAGACACTTCTCTCCATTTTACCCACCAGCACTTAATCGTGTTTCTTTCTTCCTTGTCAATACTGTTTTTTTTGCACAACTGATCCTAAATACTTAAAACTTTCCACTTCTTCTATCACGTCATTGCTTATTGTCACTGATCACCTTATTTCACTTACCTCTTGTTTCCTTTATCAAACGGGTACTCTATATACTCTGTCTTACTCCTATATATTCCGGATCCCTTTTCTTTCTGTTCTTCATACCTCTAGTCTATGATTTATTTCCTTCCTATTTTCTTTTATTGTCACTATATGGTCATCGAACTACATGCACCACGTTACCTCTCCTTATATTTCTGTAATAATTTCATTCATTTATATAGAAATAAGCAAAGGATTAAAGCAGAATCTTAGTGCAAAGGTACGTGCGGAACGCAAAAAAATTAAAACAAAGCTCATTACATAATTTTGGGCTATTACTTACGACGGGATACGTCAAATTTGGTAGAAATTAAAAATAATGGCTAAAATAGCTTATTTAAATGGATTGTCAGGGTATTATATACCCTGACACTTTTGAATCAAATATTGCATTCTTAATGAATTTGTACAGGTGCAAAAATCAAAATTTTGAATACACTTTATTTTGAGCGATTTATTTTAAATGTATATTATCGTATTATATTTAGTTGCTTATAATTTTATATTGGGAGCTAAATATAAAAAAATAATGTTTTTAACCCTTTCATGTTGTATTAAAATTTAGATATATTTTATGTATTTTCCTCCTTGGTAGTGGGTTAACCTAGGTTTTACATTAACATCACACTTATATTTTTATTTTAAAGTATAATTAAATTAAATAGATAATAAAATAATTTGTTACACTTATCAAATTTTCAAAATTAGTTTAAATAGATGTAATTAAAATTCCTTTTGGATCAAATCTATATTAAAGAGGTTTGCTATTGCTTTTAAGCTATTAACTGACAATTATAGTCGTCAGTTTTATGGCAATGTTTGATAGTCACTCAATCAGGTGGGTTGAGTTTCTGAAGTGTTAATTCAATATTATTTTTGAGAAGCATTAATACTGTAGAGACCAATATGTAGAATGGGACGGGGTTGAGATTTCTTATTTAATAAGATTAGATAATAGATCAAATACAAAATTATATTTAATTAATGTTTAGATGTTGAGAGTCTGAGGACAGTTAGTTTTCATCTTAAAAAATGATAGCACAGAATTTTAGGTTCGCAAAACCTATGCTTTGCGACCAACAAATGTTGCCCCCAGGTAGAATTAAGCGGTTTGCTAACCTTTACAATTACAATAGTAATATATCCTTTTATACAACATCCAATTTTTTTATCTTAAGTTTTAAAAATGTTCCGGAAATACTACTAGTTTTAAACATATATTATGTTATGTACTACAAGATAAGAAAAAAAAGGTAGCTCAGTGGGGTCACGGCACAGTATGGACGTGGCATAGTTGGAAAAAGTATAGATAATATCTGACAGTAATAAAAATCACTATCATAAGAAACGCTTCGATGGAAATCTGTAGATAGTGTTTAATTTTAACTGATAGAACTGGTAGATTATTCAAAAGTAAAATTCTAACTCCTATTTCCTTAATTATATCCTGATTAGTAATTCTTAGATTCAAAAATATAATATATAATTTTTATAATTAATTATTTTCAAATTAGACACTGGTTTAATATGTTACCACACAGTAGCATTTTTTATTATTATTTTATTTTTTTTATTTTCATAAATAAAAAAATAAAATTGTTTACTTATTTTATTTGATGTACATTTTTTGAAAATCTGATTCTTGGCCTAACCACAGGGGGATTTAAAATAACAATTTTTACACATAAATTAAACTTTTTCAAATTAATTTTTGAAAATTTTATGTAAGTATTGACACTTTTATTTAATCTTAAATTAAAGCTTATGTAATATACTAATTAAAAAAAAAAAAAATCGGACTTTATTTTATTTTCACGGTGAAAATGGCTACCGAATGCTATTTTTGTGTGAAAATTCTCGATTTTATATTTTACATTTTTAACTTTATAATGCTATGACATATTGAAAAGTGTATGGATCAACATTATTTTTTTATGAGAAATAATATTTATACCCTTCTTTTATTCTTTTATTCATCTCTTAATGGATATAAATAAAGAAATAGCAGATCATGTAGCTTTTGGTATAACCCACCAATTTTTTAAAATTAAACAGTATCTAAAGATTTGCATCGAAGCATTTTTTATGATAGTGATTTTAATCACCATCAGATATAAGATACTTAACCCAAAAATGTTTTTTTTTTAAATCTATCATGTTTGTTTTTTATAGTGAACAAAAAGTTTAATATGCAAAAATTTAAAAAAAAACTTCTAGTTTTAGAAAATATTCATATAATACACAATTTAATGCATTTTATTCTTGCAACTAACTAGTTCATAAATTCTCCACTACGGCGCGTTTTATTTATGGTCTAATTGGAGTTTTAGAACCTCATTTTATATGATTCTATCTTTGAGTTTAATGGAGATGATAACCTGTTACTGAAATTAATGAACAAAGTAACGATTGAACATAATTTTCTCAACTTCAATACACCTTGCTCTCTAATTTTGAGAACGTTTGTACTGAACACATGAGATTTCAGAGCGCAACAGAAAATTACTAATTTTAATAATAAATCTAATAACCTATTAATTTTATCAACAAATATATGACATATACATCTTTTTCAAATTTTTGTTGGTTGTTTTAATGAAGTTGTTCTTTAAACATTTCTATTATAGAAAATCCAGACTACATTGAAATTAACTAAAAAAAAAAACAAAATTAAAGCTTATCATAATGTTGAATAATTGATAATAAAGTTATGAGGTCAAAACAATAAAGATATATTAAACAAAACTGTAGTTACATAGAGAAGTCATGGTTCGTAATAGTTTTTACTTACGAACGAACTTTCAGATCTATAAACAAAAAGTAGCTGAAAAGGTAAAAACTTGAAATTTTATTTGGGGATACTAATTATTGGTTATTTTACATGTATATTTTAAGTATTATGGTAATAATAATTAATTGAACATACTTTAAATGTGTTATGCATAAATATTAATTACAGTAAATATTTTTAATTTATCTTTAACAGGGGTTATTATTATATGCTCATTATTATTTATATTTCACTGCACAGATTCTATTTATCAGAAAGGTCACCAAATTAAATACAAATCAGATTCTTAAATGTTTTTTTATAAATAAGAGATTACTGAAAGGTATTACACCAATGGTGTTAGAAAAAAATTTGGCTCTCATCATCATATTTCTGGTCCAGTAACAAATTTTTTTTTGCTTATTAATTTTATTATTATTTCATTATTAATATATCCATAGACAGATAATTTATAACAAATAGTTACATGAAAATATTATGTTTATATAACTATTTGTTTATTAAAAATAAACAAAATTAAATTGTTAATAATAGTGGTAGCACCTTATCATTACTTATTTGGTTCGTTTTTTTTTTAAAGCACAATGAGTACCAGCCTACTGTGTTGTAGCATATAAGACCAGTGTCTAAGTTATAATTATTTTTTCTTGTGTATGATAGTTTTATTTAGAAAATATTGTTTTATTGTATTTTAATGAGTTATTTCTATGTCACAAGGTAATTTGATTTTTTAAACTAAATTTTTTAAATACCTAACTACTACTTATTATAAAATTTCTTTTATCAATAATCTGTAATTAATTCTAGGTTGCTACAGCAGCGAAAATAAGTAGTCCTCATTTAATGAATGCTATTATAGCTAATATGAAAATTGGTTATAGAACTTCAGAACAATGTATAAGTTTTCGTTTACCCTCGAATATTTTATATAATGATATGAACAAGTGCAAAACTTCAATTATCAATGACATAAATGCAAATGAAACTTTGAATACTATTCAATTAAATACTAAAATGATTGAAATTAATTTAAATAATAATGATTTTATTAATAAAGTATTTAAAAGTGATATGGTTGAACAAATTCCTCATACTTATTCATTGAATAGATTACCTCAAATTATTGAATTCAGGTAATGGGTAAGTTAAAAAAATAATGATTATAATTAGTAATCTGTTTTAAAAAAGTTTTTATAAAAGCTTAAATACATTATTTTACGACATACTTTATAAATGAATCTCTAACACAGGAGTATTAACCTAGTGACAGACTAACCATTTAATTATTTTATTAATCGTTATTAGAATCCAATAAAACAACAGAGTATTCCTGATTGTTGTTCATTGTGATTATACATCAATTCTATATTTGTTTTAATTGCCAAAATAATTTATTTTTTTTGAGTAAATATTTACTGATATTTATTATTTTTGGTATAAAAAATACTTGAAACTTTTACTTTTTAAATAAAAAATAATATTAGTAAACATTTAAATTTTTATTTTAGCTTCAAACGAAGCTGAGAAGGTTTTAATTTTATCATGATGTGTTTTTTTTTTTGTGTCTGTTGCCACTTTATTATTAACATTAACTATTAACAATTTAAAATAATTTTTTTTTATATTGTAACCTTAGATATTTTTCTTTCGTTTGATATAAATTTTTTGAAAATCTGACTCTTTATCTGCCTTTAGAGGAGAATTCCAAATAGTAACTTCTGTACAAAAATTTTAATTTTTCAACTTAACTTTTATAAATGTTACGGAAATACTGTGTCTTTTAAACATATATCAAATTAAAACATATGTTATGTACTATAAAATGAAAAAAAACATTTCTCTTAACGACTTATATTCTACGCACAAATAGCTGGCGTAATTAAAAACCTGCCATTATTATGTTAAAATTTTTGATTTCAGATTTTATTTTTTCAACTTTAAATTGCTATAACTTTTTGAAAAATGTATGGATCACTACAATTTTCTTTTCATAACTACTTTATATTTACATCTTTCATTTAACATACTTTTTTTTTTAATTTGATCATTTTCCTTTATACAGGGAGGTTTAAATTTTTAAAAATACGAGTAAAATGTAGAACTTTATAACTTAACTTTTGAAAATGTTCCAAAAATATTCCGAGCTTAAAATATATGTCAAATTAAAGCTTACAATAAATATTATTAGTTAAAAAAAAAAAAAATTTGTCCCGACACCTTTTCTTTTTTGGGAAAATGACTGTTGAATTTAACGAAAGATGTAATTTTTATGTAAAAATCACTGTTTAGCATGAAATATTAATACTTGAAATTGACATAACTTTTTGAAAAATGAACAAATTAAAATAATTTTTTTTTATATTGAAACTTTAGATATTTATAATTCATTTGATATAAATTTTTTGAAAATCTGACTAAACCTGCTTACAGGGGGGGATTCAAAAAAGCAATTTTTGCACACAAGTTAAGCTTTTTTAAATTAATTTTTGAAAATGTTTCGGTAATATTGATACTTTTATTTAATCTTAAATTAAAGCTTATATTATACACTTTACTATGAAAAAAAAAATTCGAAATATAAATTTTCTTAATGAAACAAAAAAAAAAGTGTGTTAAAAATGATTACTTTTAATATATTAAAAATCAAAATCAATTATAATTTAAAAACAATGAAGTATAAAAATTATTTAATATATAATTAAAAAATTATGTATTATATTTTTTGAATCTAAAAATTACTAATCTGGATATAATTAAGGAAATAGATATTAATGTTGCTTTTGTAATTATCCACCAATTTCTTTGAATTAAACACTATATTGAGATTTGCATCAAAGTGTTTCTTATGATAGTGATTACTGTCAAATTAAATCTGTACCCAACTGTGCTACGACCCCATTGTGCCGCAACCCCACTATGCTGTGTTTTTTTAAAATTAATTTAATTAATTAGAAGACGAATAACTTTTTATTATTTAAAATAAAATATCTTTACTTAAAACAAGTGGTACGCCATTAAACAATAGTAGTACTTAAAAGTGATATTAACAAATGATTATTTTTCATCTATTATAAAAAGAGAATTTTTTTTATTAAATTAACTAAGTTATAAATATAAAGTTGAAATAAAGTAATAATTATACATTCATTATTTTTTTATGTGTAGTTTATTCTCTTGAAAAAAAAATCTTTTGGGAAATGGAGATTTTGACATTATCACTTTTCAATTATATAAAATAACATTTAGTTATCAAATTTACTATTTTCTTTTTTATTTCCAGCTCTCCCAATATTGCAAAACCATTTCATGTTGGTCATTTTCGTTCAACAATAATTGGAAATTTTTTATCAAATTTATTTAAGTTTTTAAATGGTAACATTATAAAACTGAATTATTTGGGTGATTATGGACCTCAATTTGGTTATATACTTCTTGGATTAGAAAATCTTCAAAAAGAAAACCCCAATTGTAAACTCACTATAGAAACTCTTCATAAGGCTTATGTATTAGCAAATAAATTGTCAGAAGAAGATAATGATATACACAGAAAAGCAAAAGCGATATTTAATGATTTGGAATTTGGCAATTCAACCTCTGAAGTTGCTGAACTTTGGAATAATTTTAGATCAACTACTGTTAAAGAACTTGGCATAACATACAAAAGACTGGGTGTTGTATTTGATCAATATGATTGGGAATCAAATTATTCCAAAATAAAAATTTCTAATATCATTGAAAAACTTGAAAAAATGAATATACTGAAGTATAAAAATGATGGCTCTGGTGTAATATATTGCAATAATCAAGAGACTACTGTTTTGAAAAACGATAAATGTACTTTATATTTATTACGAGATATTGCAGCTGCAGTTGATCGTTTTAAAAGATTTAAATCTAAAAATTTGTATTATGTGGTAGATAATACACAGAGTAAACATTTTTATCAATTAAAATCTATTATTAATAAAATTAATCCACAAATAAGTATAAATCATGTTCCATTTGGAAGAATTCATGGTATGAGTTCGAGAAAAGGCAAAGGAGTATTAATGAACCAACTATTAGATGAAGCAAAATCTATTATGATTTTAAGGCGAGAAAATTCTCAAAGTATTTAATAAGTGTTTTCTTTACAAAAATTAAATTATTCATTTAGTTTTTTTTTTTTTAAGCAACAAAAAAACAAGACCAGGATGAAAACAAAATATCAGATATCTTGGGTATCTCAGCAATAATAATAAATGATCTTAAACAAAGACGTAAAAAAGACTATAATTTTTCTTGGGAATCAGCTTTACAAGTGAATAAACTCTTATCTATTAGTAATTATGTTTATATACAGTAAATTATTCATAAGGCAGCTATTGTACAAAATTCAGGTACTGCCATATGTTTTAATAAGAAATATATCATTAAATTTCTTACTTTTAGGTTGAAATTAAATTTTATTTCACTATTAAAACTTATGAAAAGTCTGTTAACACACATGTACTTAATTTGCCCCTTATAACTTGACATATTCAAAATCTAATATCGGCTAAACCCTTTATATTTTACATCTATTTTTAAATTTAGGTAATTCAATAATATTTATATCTTATAATAACTTAATAATTATGTGTAAAAGACCATTCTTCAAAACTATTATTTTTGATAGAGAAACCTACATACATAGCTTAGTGTTACAAAATAAGAGTTTATTTTTTCTGAACTTGATAGTTGTGTAAAGAATAGGAGATTGTTGTTGAGAGTAGGAGTAGGATACCAAGAAACAAGGAAACCTGGTGATGGGATCAGGACATTCAAAAAATCATAGAAAGTAAGAAAAAGCAATTCAAAGTATGGCAGAAGAGCAAAAGGAGAGAAGATTGGATGGAGTATAANTGTAAAGAACGAAATTTTTTTTTTTGCATAATAAAGTAAATTAAGCAATTCAAAGTATGGCAGAAGAGCAAAAGGAGAGAAGATTGGATGGAGTATAAACACTTGTGCAAAGAAGTTAAGTGTGCAGTAAGTAAGGCGAAGTTAAAGAGGTATGATGAGTTGTATAATAGTCTAGGAACATAGGAAGGCGAGAAATAAATCTATAGACTTGTAAAAGTAAGAGAAAAAAGGACTAAAGATTATCATTATGTAAGGTGTATAAAAAGTGCTGATAATAGGGTACTCTCAAGTGATGATGATGTGCAAAAAAAGTTGGAAAGAGTACTTTGAAATTTACTGAAATGAGGTGTATCCAATTGAGATGTTTAAGGATATCTCGTGGAATGAGGTACTGGTAGATTTAATTAGTCAGAAAGAGGTATCAGAGACTGTGGCAACAATGAAAATGAATAAAGCAATAGGACCAGATAAAGTATGGAAAATATTAGGCGGTGTTGGCATAAGGTGGTTGAAGGAACTTATAAATAAAGTCTTACAAGAAGGGAAAATTCCAAATGAATGGAGGAATAGTATTGTGGTGCCGATATATAAAGGTAAAGGGGACATACATGAGTGTGGAAATTATAGAAGCATAAAGCTTAAAGTCCTAAAGTCATAGTATGAAAATTTAGGAAAAGATAATAGATAAGAGAATAAAAACCCAACCAAACCCAGCACAGGGGGGTCGCGGCACAGTGGTGACGTGGCATAGATGGATCAAGTATAATGATATCTGACAGTGATTAAAATCACTATAAAAAAAAAACGCTTCGATGCAAATCTTTAGATAGTGTTTAATTTTAAAAAATTGGTGGATTATTCCAAAAGCTACATGATCTGCTAGTTC